GGAGGAAGCGCCAGACAATAGGTGGGCCCGCGACAGCGTCACCAGTGGGGTCTGCGCCGTGACCCCACTGCCGTGGCTGCGCCACCACGACGGTAAGACACGGGCCGGGGATGCCGTGATGGGCACGGCATGGCATGGGTAGCCCTTTGCCGGCTGCCACATCCCGAAGCCTGGACGCCCAGAGCATCGTGCCCTCTGGCCCCGGTCCCCACAGGGGCGGCTGGGTGGCCGTGGTGCGGGGTCTGGTCACCTCCCAGCACGGTGGCTGGATCCACCAGGGATGGGAAAGGAAGGGACAGAGCTCAGTGGCCACCTCCAAAGCAAACACAGCACCCCAGGCACCGTGTACCCATGGGGACCCCCCCAGCCATGGCAGTGGGGCTCCATCCTGCTCAGCCCCTTGCAAGGGGGCACCCATGGGTGCAAGCAGGTCCCCAGGACACCTCCCGGCACAGGGGCCAGCTTGAGGACAGCCCAGCCGCAGCAGGGCTGCCTGGGGCAGAGGAAATGGCGAAGGCAAATGGGGATTTACAGGATCAGGCCTTCAAACGGCTGTTTGCACTCAGGACTCCCCTTGGCGGCCGCCCGCCGGCCCCACTCGCTCGTGCGCCGCACGGGGGGTTCAGGATGGGGCGAAGCTCACGCCTCGGCACCTGCAGAGGATGAGCTTTATGGCCATTTCCATACCTGAGCTTCCCGCTTTCCTGTGGCACGGGGGATGGGGGGGGGGGGGGGGCTTCCCCCCCTGCCCGAGCGTTCGGGGCAGCCAGGCGCGAGTTTTGGCACGCAGCAGTGCCGAGCAGGGACAGCGGATTTTTCCAGCCCGGATCCGAGGGTCATTAACGTGATTGCACCGGGGGCTGGCGGTGGCAGACGAGCCCTGAGCAAACACGTAGCAGATGGTCCCGTAGGCTCTGTGCTGGCGGTGGGGCTGTGGTGATGCCGTGCCGGGGGCACGGAGGCAGCACCGGGGCTGGCATTGCAATGCAGCTCCCTCTCGCATCGTGTCCCCGCCGTGTCGTGTCACCTCACGTCTGTGTGGTGGGGACTGACGGTCTCTTGTTTTCTGCCCAGACCCCGGGAGAGCCGAGGGCTGCGACCTGCAGCCAGTGACGGCAGAGCCGCCCATCACCCTGTCCTACGCCACCAGCACGGTGCCGCGGGGCTGCGTCAGCAGCGGCTCCGTGGGCACCAGCCATGAAGTCCACATCCTCAGCATCGAGTGGTCCAAGGTGAGCGAGTGGGGTCCCGGCGCGTCACCCTGGCACTGTCACCCCAGCACTGTCCCCACTGGGCAGGGTGTCCCGGCTGTCGAAACCGTTTCCTCTGACTAAGGCACAGCGAGAGGACCCGGATTAACCTCTTCCATGGCGCCTTCGCCGAGCTTCCCCTCCCAGCGCAGCCACAGGTGTCTCTGGCCCTGGCCAGGATTTAAAGTCTTTAGAGGCAACTTTTCTAACCCACGCTGCCAGGGCTGTCCCTGCACTGGATGTCCCAGGAACCCCTGTTTTCCTGGGGAGGTGGCCTGGTCCTGGCTCAGGAGCAGGGCAGAACCACGGGCACCCGATGGGGACCACACTGGGGAGGGAGGGATGGAGGGAGGGATGGAGGAAGGGATAGAGGGAGGGAGGCATATCACTTGAAGGCGGCCAAGCAAGCAGAAACCTGGCTGCCAGTGTTGGCACAGCCTGCCGAAGGGCGATAACGGCATTGTGGGTGCCCCGGGCATCTTTTGGGCGAGGACAGGCACAGAGCAGTGGCAAGGCTGGGGCTGCATCCCTGGCTGGCGCTGGTCCTGGTTGGCACTGTTGGGTGGGTTTGCACCAGCACATGGGTTTGCGTGGCTGCTCTGCAGCATGGCCCAGCTCCCCTCTCGCTAGCTGGGCCCCGGCAAACTCAGCACCCGATTTTGGCCCAGCCCTGGGCTGCCTGGCGCCACGGTCCCCTCCCCGCTGCCTCCCAGCTCTCCCAGTTCTGCTTTTCAGGGGGAGGCGGGAGCCGGGCTGGGAGCCACTGGTGTGTGTGTGGGTTTTGCAAGGGCCCCTCTGCCCCAGCCCAGTGTGACCTGGCCCTGGCACCCCAGTGCGTGGATAAGCGCCGAGGCTGGGGGTGCCCCGGGGTTGTCACCAGCGGCGGCAGGGGACATGCACTGATGTCACGGCTGCGGCACCAAGCCCTGCGGCGCGCGGGGGGAGCCAGGCAGGGACGCGGCTCCACTTATAGAAGAATTACTGGAAGCCGCTTTCTATAAGCAGATCCCCACGATGCGAAAAAAAAAGAAAAAGAAAAAAATAACCTGAAAGGCGGCGGCGGGGCAGCGGCGAG